CATCCCTTCTGCCATTCAGATGTTCTAAAACCAGGGTTCTTGTATTCTTGACCTGCAGGGGTCAAGCCATCAACACTCCTCCCCATTCTCTTTCTTTTATTATTATTATTTTTTAGAGGTACCCAGACATCAATGGCTAAACTTCATTTTTATTTATTTATTTTATTTTTTGCCAATCCTGGGGCTTGAACTCAGGGCTTAGGCACTATCCCTGAGCTTCTTTTGCTCAAGGCTAGCACTCTACCACTTGAGCCACAGCACCACTCCTGGCTTTTTCTGTTTATGTGAGACTGAGGAATGGAACCCAGGGCTTCATGCATGCTAGGCAAGCACTCTACCACTAAGCCACATTCGCAGACCCTCCTTCCCATTCTTGAGTCTCCTTTAGAAGCTGAGTGAATCTTTCTCTAGATATCTCTGAATCTTCCTCCCAAAGGTGACAGAAACTACCAGCCAGGCCCAAGACAGGCAGAATGCAGCCTCTGGTGGAGCCCAGGGTGGGGAAGATGTAGAAGGCAGCATCCAAAGTTATGACCCTGATACTTCTGAAAGGAAGGTCTATTAAGAGGTATTTTTCATTTCTCAATAATAAGGAGACAAATGAAGCCAGGCGCCGGCAACTCACATCTGTATTCCTAGCTACTCAAAAAACTGCGATCTGCCAGTTGGAGGGCCGGGGAGTGGGAATGGAGGGCCATGAAATTAGATATTATTCCACTTAACCAGCAAAAAGCTGAAAGTAGAGTTGTGGCTCAAGTGGTAGAGTACCAGCCTTGAGAAAAAAAAAAGCTAAGGGACAGAGCCCAGGGCCCTGAGTGCAAGCCCTAGGACCAATTCAAATGATGATGATGGTGGTGGTGGTGGTGGTGGTGGTGGTAATGATGGTGAGGACGGGAAGTCCCACTGCGCTGTGTGACACATCCCCAGGAAGGTGAGCGCACCCACCCAGAGCAACAGGCCTGTAGGGCCTCCGGCTTCGGATGTGTATGCACTTCAGAGATACAGACTAAACCACAGGAGCAGCCCACCAAGGGTGAATGCACGGTGAATGCCGAGCGGGTCCAGGCTTCCGTGTCCCTTGGCTTGTGGGCTTTTCTACTGCTGAGAGTCAAAGCTCACTAGCACATAGAGAGGTTTCAGAAGCAGCCAGGAGGCCTTCCAGAATACCAGTGGCTCCAGGCAACCCATAAAAACTACCAGGCTAAACCACAAACAGTGCTTATCTGTTGGTGGTGAGATTTTTATTTTCTCTCTCATGTTTATGTTCTGCCTCTAAGATGAGCCTTTGTAGTGGGCCTTGGTTTGGGGGTTTATTTAAAAGCAAGATGGAAAGAAATCAATGCTGGAAAGGACTTCAGACCTCATGGACCTGATGCCCTCTGTCCTCCAGTGTACTTTGCTCTGGACTGACTGACCTCACAGTAGTCTTTAAATTTGCAAAGGGATCAATTTATTTGAGGGCAGAGCTCACCTCTGCCCTATAGCCTAACCATTCTCCATGTCAAAATGGGTGGAAACCAAGAGAACAACTTGAAGAATTCCAGGAAGATAACTGAAAGAACTTTCCCAGTATAAAGCCAGTGACTGAGTACTAAGGAAATTTTTTAAAAAAAGAAATAAGGAACAGGGCACCAGTGGCTCACACCTGTAATTCCAGCTATTCAGGAGGCTGAGATCTAAGGATCCTAATTCAAAGCTGGCCTGAGCAGGAAAGTCTGTGAGACTCTTATCTCCAATTAACCAGCAAAAAGCCAGAAGGAAAGCTGTAGGTTAAGTGGTAAAATGCCAGCCTTGAGTGAAATAACTAAGGAACAGCAACCAGGCCCTGCGTACTGGCAAAGAGACAAAGAGAGACAGAGACAGAAACAGAGAGAGTGACACTGGCTTACACACATAATCCTAGCTACTCAGGAGGTTAAGATCTGGAGAATTGCAATTCTAAGCCAGCCAGCACCCCCCCCCCATCCCACCCCAAAAAAAGGCTGCTAGACTGATTCCATCTCTAAAGTAAATGACAAAAAGCAAGGCTGGAGGCATCGCTTAAGTGGTAGAATACCAGCGGAGTCCTGACTTCATGCCCCAGTACCAGAAAAGAAAAGAAGAAAGAAGGTAGGAGTGGGACTAAGGAGTAATATGGGCTGGTGATGCAGCCCAGTAGTGAAGTATGTACTTAGCATGCATGAAGGCCCAGGCTCAATCCTCAACACAAATATAGCAATTGTGTTAAAAGGGATAGAGCAGCCCAATATCACACACCAGGATGTCACTGATATGACACGTGACAGGTAACATTGACCAACACAAAGGGCTCCCTTCCCACCCGCTCCTAGTTCATAATCATCAAATCAGGCACCGCCTAGGGCCCTCCACCCACCAGTCTTCCCATTACAGCACCCAACTGACCCAGTCTCATATGTGGGCCAAGTCTTCTGCAGTCATTCAAACATGCTCGTGTGACAGGGAAGCAGACAGGAGCTCCAGGGGCAGTGGGGGTGACCATGAAGAAACACCCCAGTGGTAAGGAACAAAGGGAATGTCCCCAGAAGACTGTTCCTTCCATAGTCTGTGAAGGTTGGGCATATGCTTGTTGTCAGCACTGGGTCCTGGGACACACAGACACCCTTCTTGGAAGACACTACTCCCTACCTTAAAAAGCAGCCAGGTGCCACTGGGTCATGTCCATAATCCTAGCTACTCAGGAGGCTGAGATCTGAAGATCATGGTTCAAAACCAGCTCAGGAAGGGATGTCCATGAGCCTCTTATTTTCAATTAACCACCAGAAAGGCAAAATGGAGCTATGGCTCAATTGGTAGAGTGCTAGACTTGAGTGAAAAAGCTAAGAAACTGTCTCTTAGCCCAGGCCCTAAGTACAAGCCCCAGTACTGGACCATGTTTGTGCATATGTACATACACACACACACACACACACATTTACAAATGGCAACCCAAGTGAATGGCTTGCTTGGCAACTTGATAGTGCTCACACATCAGCAAGAATCTGGGGAGACACTTGATCACTAAAATTTGCCTGAGCTGCAATGCAACCATTATTGCCTTTGTGAAATTGCTGTGTTGCTTGAATTAGTCTAGGACAGTTTGGATCATATGTATAAATACATATATACATATATGTGTGCATATGGATATATGGATTATTTGTATGTATATATACATATATATGTATATATATTTGGGGGGAGGGTCAGTTGTGGGGCTTGAACTCTGGACCTGGGTGCTGTCCCTGAGCTCTTCAGCTCAAGGCTAGTGCTCTGCCACTTGAGCCACAGCACCACCTCCAGTTTTCTGAGTAGTTTTTTTTTTTGGAGATAAGAATCTCATGGACTTTCCTGCCTGGGCTAGCTTTGAACCTCAATCCTCAGATCTCAGCTTCCTGAGTAGCTAGGATTACAAACGTGAGCCACCGGTGTCCGGCTTAGATCCAATATTTAACCACATAGACTTCTCCAGTTAATGTCCCAAACCTTACAAACAAGGTAATTAAGAAGACAGGGTAAGAGGCTGGGAAGGTGGCTCCGTGGTACAGTGCTTGCCTTACATGCATGAGGCCCTGGGTTCAATTCCTCAGCACCACATAAGCAGAAAAAGCCGGAAGTGGTGCTCAAGTGGTAGAGTGCTAGCCTTGAGCTGAAGAGCTTAGGGACAGTGCCCAGGCCCAGAGTTCAGCCCCCATGACCAACCAAAAAAAAAAAAAGGAAAAGGGACTTCAACCTCAGGTCACCCATTCTTCTCATGATGCAACAGGGATTAATAAAGATCCTGGAATCCAATCTTTTAGCTATGTTAGATTTTTGGAAAATTTTCAGATCGTTTCTCACACCAAATGAAAAATAAAAAATTCTTACCCCATAGTGCTTCACACATCTGTTCTCCCCCATGGAGTCCTATACACCAAGCCTCCTTCAGTAAATAGGAAATGGTAGATCTTACCACTCCAAGAGGTAGCCATGTTTCTGTAGGACCCGTTCCTTGTCCATCCCTGCAGCAAGAAACAAGGACAAAGAGAACAAAACTCAAGAGAACCATTCTTGCCTCTCTGCTGCTGCTGCCATAGTTTTCTGTGGGCCTGGCTCCAACCTGAGACACACAGGTTCGGTACAAGAACACAGCAGTAGACAGAAGGAAAAGCTTGTGCCTTCTTGTTTCCTTCTCCACAAGGTTCCCAAGCAATGGGGTCCCCATGCACAAACCAGACTCCCTTGACCTGGGTCTCACTGAGCCAACCTTTGGGGAGAGCTTCTGAGAGCCCATCTGCTCCCCAAGGAGGAAGCTTTGCAGGCAGCCATCAGTGCTCCCCTAGACCTGGGTGTGGGAAGAAGACAAGATTCTCCAGTACAGGAAAAAGGTGATGCCATCCTTTTCTCCAAGAGACTACTAGACACACCCTATCCTGGAAGCAGTCCCACACCTACCCTGTGCCCCCTCTTGTCCTAAAATCTTGGGCTGTGACACCTACAAGGAAGATCCAAAGATACTTTTTCTCATGTGGTCTTTGGGGACAAATGGGTAATCCACTGACCATGGATTGGGGAAGGCACTTTCTCAGTGGGGAACCTGAGGTGTCTGGGACTGAGCAGGAAGCAGGTGCTCGGTCAAGGAGAAAGGCTGGAACCAGGTTGGTTTGGGACCAAGACTGATCTCAGGACTAATGCCAGGAAGGCCAGATCAGAGGCAGACAGGGGAGGGAAAGAGGCCCCTGGTCAGAAATATCCAGATAGATGGTAAAGGAGGCATGTGAGCAGTACCTGGCAGAGTGGCAGAGGTCAGAGAACTTAAGGGAGGTAGGGAAAGCCAGATAGATAAGGTTTTGGGCTCTTTTCCCTGAAGAGTCACAGCCACATAGCTGTGTTCATTGCATAATCCTTCTATTTGACCAGAGCAACATTTTGTCAGAAATTCTGTCCAGAGAGGTGATTCAAAGAAGGCATCCAACAAGCAAAGGTGGAAACAAGACACAAGATCATTACTGTCTCCTGGAACAATGGAGCTGCATAATGTGTCTGCCCACTTCAATTTCTCCCTGCCGCCTGACTTTGGCAAGCGTCCTACTGACCTGGCCCTGAGCATCATCCTAGTGCTTATGCTGCTGATAATGATGCTTTCACTAGGCTGCACCATGGAATTCAGCAAAATCAAGGCTCACTTCTGGAAACCTAAAGGAGCAATCATCGCCCTGGTGGCCCAGTATGGCATCATGCCCCTCACTGCTTTTGTGCTTGGCAAGGTCCTCAAGCTGAACAACATTGAGGCACTGGCTATCTTGATCTGTGGCTGCTCACCAGGAGGAAGCCTGTCCAATATCTTCACCCTGGCTGTGAAAGGAGACATGAACCTCAGGTAGGACTAAGGTTAAGAAGATAGCAGTTCTGGACAAGGCCACTGTGGAAATGTCACAATTGGGCTGAAGCCGGGGGCGGGGGGGGGGGGGGGAGAGAGAAAGAAGTGGGTTCTGGGGTGAGGACTGGCATTTATAGCCAAGAGCTTATGTTGGGCTAGGTAAAGGGGATAGGGTTCCCCTCTGGTTTAAGCACCAAGTCAAAGGCACTAATCTAGTTCAGGGGCTTCCTGGGCAAAGTTGATCTCCCAGAGGCATCACAAGTGTGGCAGGAATATTGCCTCAAAGGAGTATTGACATCAACCAATGAGCCCCTGAAGAACGACACTGATGTAACTGGGTGAGTGGGTGGGTAAGTTGTCAGTACTGAGACTAGAGATCTGAAAGGGGGTAAGATGGGTACTGAACATGGCCAGGGATATCAGGAAGATCTGGAACCAAATGAGCACCTCAAAGTTCTAAAGACTAGTTTGGCGCCAGTGGCTCATGCCTGTTATCCTAGCTACTAAGGAGGCTGAGATCTGAGGATCATGGTTCAAAGCCAGCCCAGGCAAGGAAAATCCATGAGACTCTTATCTCCAATTAATCACCAGAAAAAAAAAACTAGAAGTGGTGCTGTGGCTCAAGCAGTAGAGAGCTCGCCTTAAGCTAAAAAGCTGAGGGATAGCACCCAGGCCCAGAGTTCAAGCCCCATGACAAAAATAAAAGTTCTAAAGAGTAAGCAAGAACTCCAAAAGTTTTCCCCACGTCCTCTAATGTATCTCCTTCCCTCTAAGATGCCTCAGCCACCATCAGATGCAGTGACACCTGCCTGCTAAGTCACGCAAGGTAAACACTGTGATCCCAGCACAGGCCCAGTGGGGCTGGGCCCTACCTCAACCCAACTGGTCTGGAGACCACCCACTACCTTGCCCAAAGAAGCCTGAGCAGCAACCTGAGAGGCTTATCTCCTGGGCCACATGTTCATGGGTGCTGCTTGAGAGCTTGTCCTTCCAAACAGACATGACTCTATCCTTGAACACCTCCCACAGAGGTTATCTTACACCTGCCCCAGCAGCCTGTGCCAGGGCTAAAGAGAACTTTACAAAGAGCCCAACTTTACAAGAAAAGTACCCATGAAATCCATTCTAGTGGGACTGGGAATGTGGCTTAGTGATAGAGTGCTTTCCTTGCATGCATGAAGCCCTGGGTTCAATTCCTCAGTCTCACATTTATAGAAAAAGCTGGAAGTGGCACTGTGGCTCAAGTGGTAGAGTGCTAGCCTTGAGCAAAAGAAACTCAGGGACAGTGCCCAGGTCCTGAGTTCAAGCGCCAGGACTGGCCAAAAAAAAAAAATCTATCCTAGTGATGCAGGATTCTGACATCAAATTTTTTTTAATATTTTTGTGATGCTGAGGATAGAACCCAAGACCTTATGCATGGTACCCAAGTACTCTACCACTGAACTGTATTTCTCAGCCCCTAGCACACGCTGTTTTCTCCTAATGACCCTGGAAATTGAATTCAGGAACCTGGAGCATGGTAGGCAGGTACTCTACTGCGCGGGTCCTTTTTTACTTTATTAATGTTCTTGGTGTTGGTGTTGCAGATTTCTAAATGAAATAACCATGGTTAGCCAGAATCTGTGGTCTAGACTCTACCTACTCAATACAGTGGATGGGCAGAGAGCCACCAAGGGACTGGGAATATATTGCAATATTGGATCACCTCACTATTAGGAAATTCTTCCCTCTGTCCAATCCAAATCCTTCCTGCTGCAAAGCAAGCCCACGCTCACAGATCTGGGCCTTGGATAAGGTTTGTTCCAGCCTCTGTAGTCTAAGCAAACCAGACACTACCTCAAATCCAGTGAAAAAAGAACCAGCGTCAGGTGTGAGGGAAGAGACTCCCCGGGGAATGTGTGAATCGTGACTGAGTAGAACAGAGTGAGCAGGGTGAAGGAGTAATGGGTTAGTTTTATTTTTTAAGTGTGAGTTACCAGATAATCTGGCCTCCCTGCCAGTGAATACTGAGGCGGCCTCATAGCACCTGCATTTCTGAGGCTTGAGACCCCCAACTGCAGCAGTCCTTCATAAGATCTTCCATGCTCCGCTACTCAGCCTCCTTGTCCAGGTACCTGGTGACCGTCATTTCTCCACAAGAAGTGACCTGGGCCTCAGACCCCACTGGGAGAGCAGGAATCTTAGCACCCACATTCATCTACTGCCTCAGTATGAATTCCAATTTGAGTTCACCTGGATCAACGTGCTACATGTATAGTAATGACAGTGATGAGTCTACACTACATGCTTTACCTGCATAAGGGCACCTGACCCTCAGACAGTACCCTGGAAAGATAAAAGAACTACTCACATTTAGCAATGCGGAATCTTGAATCTTGGAGGGCTTAACACCTTTGCTCCACACCTGGCTGGCTCTCGAGCGTGGGCTTTTACTCAAATATTTTCAGGACCCGCTGCCTGCCAGCCTCAAAGGGGGCTGACCAGGGCAAATGGAGAGATTCAACAGGAGGAGGGCCGCAGCTGCCACAGCTTTCTGCCTTTCTTTTCTTTTTAATTTTTATTATTATCATAAAGGTGATACACAGTGAGTTACAGTTACTCAAGTCAGGGAAAGAGCACATTTCTTTTTGGACAATGTCACCTCTTCCCTCATTCTCTCAGGCTTTCTGCTTTTCAGGAATAGAATCTCCTAATTTTTTTTTTTTGTTGGTGGTAGTAGTGGTCATGGGGCTTGAACTTAGGGCTTGGCCACTGTCCCTGAGCTTTTTTGCTCAAGGCTAGTGTCCTACCACTTTAAGCCACAGCTCTACTTCCAGCATTCTAGTGGTTAATTGAAGACAAGAGTCTCATGGACTTTCCTGCCTGGGCTGGCTTTGAATAACGATCCTCAGATCTCAGCTTCCTGAGTAGCGAGGGTTACAGGCGTGAGCCACCAGCACTAGGTTGCAATCTCCAAATTTTTAAATGTCCAAACCCATCTAAATCTGTTTAAAAGATGATGCAAAGCAAACAATACATGGCCAAAGGCCCAAGGTCCACTTTGAGACCTTTCTTGAAGCACAACAATTCCACTTTAGAGCTGGGGGGAAGTGGAAAATCCAGATATTTCCCAAACGTTTTCCCAAATCTGTGAAGACGTTATCTAGAGTCAGCTCAAGGCCCTCTCCCATGGCTATGCTCCCCACCCCCACCCCCAATTTCACAGTCTGAGGCCAACCGACCATCAAGGAGGCTGGGCTACCTGGTGGGTCCCACAAGCAGGGAGGCACAGCCACCCCTTAAAGACACACAGGCAAGAGAAAATGCCTGTAAAGGGAGTGTGGCTGTCTGGGTCAGAGGAGAGACTGACAGCAGGACCTGGCCACCTTTGACCATCCTCAGCTGTCCCTCGGGCTCCTTCACTCCCCTCACCCCACTAGGTCTGCAGCAGAAACTAGAACCAACACTTGGGTGGACCATAGGTCTGGATAAAAGGCCAAGGAGGGCTGGGAAGATGGCTCAGTGGTAGAGTGCTTGCCTTGCGTGCATGAGGCCCTGGGTTCGATTCCTCAGCACCATATTAACAGAAAAGGCCAGAAGTGGTGCTGTGGCTCAAGTGGTAGAGTGCTCGCCTTGAGCTGAAGAGCTGAGGGACAGCACTCAGGCCCAGAGTTCAAGCCCCACAACTGACAAGAAAGAAAGAAAGGAAGGAAGGAAGGAAGAAGGGAAGAAAGAAAGAAAGAAAGAAAGAAAGAAAGAAAGAAAGAAAGAAAGAAAGAAAGAAAGAAAGAAAGAAAGAAAGAAAGAAAGAAAGAAAGAAAGAAAGAAAGAAAGAAAGAGAAAGAAAAAGCCAAGGGTTTCTGCAGGTCACCCCAGGGATGAAGGCTAACCAAGATGAGATGGAAGCCACTGGGGGTTCCCAGAAGTTTCCTACTTTACCAGAAAGGCTTGAGAGGTGGGAGGGGCAGGGGCCTTGCACATCCCTCAGCTTCTGCCTCCAATCTCTCCCTTAACAGGGGCACAAACCAGTTCCTTAAACAGAGGTTCTAACATTCCAAAGCAGAGTCTGTCAACACTTTCAGGACCTATGTAGGAACAGGCCTGTAGCAGTTCCAGCTAGTTGTAGTGGGTGGATATTTGAGCCCAGGAGGTCAAGGCCAGCCTAGGAAATATTTCAAAAACTAAATAAAAAGAACTTACAGATGAAAGAAAAATGAAAACAATGACTTATGTTTCCAACCCGGGAACGAATCTCTGAGTTACTTACTGTGGTTGTCCTTCTCAGTACACTGAGAAGCAGAACACTCACAGATACCATCAAGTTAGGGGCCGAGTTCCCAACATGGGGATGTAGACACATGACTCTCCCATAGCTAAGTAGACAAGCACACCAAGTCTCAGAGCAAATTCCAAAACTCCTAGCACACCAGGCCAAAGCAAGCACAACTTTGGTGCTCCAGGACACAAAACAAACAAGTTACGGGGGGGGGGGGGGGGGGGGGGGGGGGAGGGGGGTGGAAGGAGTTGTACAAAGAGATCAATAGCTACCACTGAAGGCCCTCTAGGCCCCCTCCTCAACCTCACTCCTCTCTACTGCACCCCAAAGGAAGCATCTCCTGTGACTTTGTGTTCAGCATTCCTGTAAACTATTATCCCATGTGTATATACCATAAACAAGGGAGACTGCTATCCTTGCAGATTTTTTGTTGTTGTTGTTGGTCATGCGGCCTGAATTCTGGGCCTGGGCGCTGTCCCTCAGCTCTTCAGCTCAAGGCTAGTGCTCTACTACTTGAGCCACAGTGCCACTTGCAGTTTTCTGGTGGTTAATTGGAGAAAAGAGTCTCACAGACTCTCCTGCCTTGACTGGCTTTGAACTGCAATTCTCAGATCTCAGCCTCCTGAGTAGCTAGGATTACAGGTGTGAGCCACCAGCGCCAGGTTGAAATCTCTCTTACTGGTCTTTGTGGCTATGTTCATGACACTACCACCCTTTCTTAATCATGATGGCTAAGTCTTGATATCTGAAAATAAAGTCATCCTACATTATTATTCTTGAAAAGTTATTCTTTGCCTTTGTGCTATTTCATTTGAATTTTAAAATCAGCTTTCAAGTCTACCAAGTAAATTATGGAATTTTTATTAAATTTGCATTGCATTTATACACAGATTTGTATACCATCTCTATAATGAGTCTTCCCATTCATCCATGAATTTAGTAGCTTTGCTTTGACTTGGGCCTTCTTTCATACTTTTCTATGTTTTATTTCTTCATTAAAGAGCTCTCATCTCATTTAGTTTTTGTTTTTATTTTGGGTCCAGTCGTGGGCCTGAATTCTGAGCCTGGGCGCTGCCCCTCAGCTCTTTAGCTCAAGGTTAGCACTCTACCACTTGAGCCACAGCACCACTTCCAGCTTTTTTTTTTGCTTATGGGTGCTGAGGAATCGAACCCAGGGCCTCAAGCATGCAAGGCAAGCGCTTTGCCACTGAGCCACCTTCCCAGCCCCTGGAAGATCTAAAGATTTTGTGGTTTTTTGAATGTCTTGTGTGTGTGCCATTCCTAGGGCTTGAACTCAGGACCTGAACATTGTCCCTGAGCTTTTCTTGCTCAAGGCTAGTGCCCTACCTCTTAAGCCACTGTTCCACTTCCAGATTTTTGGTGTCTAATTGGAGATAAAAGTCTCATGGACTTTCATGCCCTGACTAGCTTTGAACCGTGACCCTCAGATCTCAGCCTCTTCTGTAGCTAGGATTACAGGCCTGAACCACCAGTGCCTAGCTTGAATATATCTTTTGTTGTTGGTGGTGGTAGTCATGGGGCCTGAACTCTGGGGCTGGACACTGTGCCTCAACTCTTCCGCTCAAAGCTAGCATTCTACTACTTGAGCCAAGTGCCACTTCCAGCTTCTTCTGTGGTGCTGAGGAATAAAACTCAGGGCCTCATGCATGCAAGCAAGGCAAGCACTCTACCACTGAGTCACCTTCCCAGCCTCTGAATATATCTTTTTAAAACAATTATTTGCTATTTTTTCATAGTATATCAGGTCCCAACTTATTTTCTATTATTATGTTTGGAATCCTGTGGATTCTTATCATAATGAAAAAACTATAAACATTCCTGTCATTAGCAAAAAATAGAAATTTTTCCCCATCTCTAAATTCTTTATTTCTCTTTCGTTCTAGTGAGGGCCTATATATGATATAATTTATAAAAGAGGTGATAACATTTAGTGTTCATTTCTTTAGGAAAGGCAATCCTTCAATTGCTTCCTATTTAATATCTCTTTAGCATTAAAAATTTCCATGCTGTTGCTAGTATGCTAAAGAACATTGAACTTTATTGTTTTACAACTATGAAATTATACATGTGTGTGTGTGTGTGTGTGTGTGAGAGAGAGAGAGAGAGAGAGAGAGAGAGAGAGAGAGAGAGAGAGCTGGCCTTAGGGACTGGGCTCTGTCCTTGAGCTTCTTTTGTTCAAGAAATGCTTTACCACTTCAACCCCAGCTTTACTTCCAGCTCAAGCTGGCTTCGAACTGTGCTCCTCAGATATCAGTCTCCTGAGTAGCTAGGATTACAGGTGTGAGCCACTAGCACCTGGCTGTTTTTTTCTTTAATCTGGGTAATTGCTGTATTCTCTACTATTCTACTATTCTAGCTTTTTAATTATACTTTCTGCTGATTGGATGTTATTTGTTTTTATAGTCCTAATTATGGTGGGTTTGTTTTTTGGTGGGGTTTGTTGCTGTTGTTGTTGTTTGGGTAGTATTGGGGTTTTGAAAACAGGATCTTGTGACTGTCGGGCAATTACTGCAAGCACTCCCAGACAGCTGATTTCTCTATATGCTTTTTGGCCCACTCTAACATTCCCAAACAGCAAGCACTTTGTCACTGTGTCTCACACTTAAATTCCCCAAGTGGCAAAACACACTTGATACAGTTGATACTGTCTCCATTTGGGCGATGGCTCTACATCCAGTTAGTCCCTTTGTTCCATGGCAGACATCTAGCCAATGTGGGCCAAAAGCTATTCCATAGTCAGGGTAATGGGATCACAATTATATTCAAAATGGATTATGCACATGGCAGGTGTTCAGAGTTTTATTTATTACACAGAAAATAAGAATAACTCCTTCCTCAATTAAGCACGTATGCTCACATCAGTTGAACAGTCATAGGTCAAATCCTGCCTCAGCTACTTTCTTGTGTGATTCTGGTAAGTCATAATTCTTTCAGACTTCAACTTCTTTATTATAAGCAAAAAGTAAGTATGAGCCAAGACAGGAAAGTCCGTGAGACTCTTATCTCCAATGAACCACCAGAAAGTGGCAGAGCACTTGGCTTGAGCTGAAGAGCTCAGGGACAGTGCCCAGGCTCAGAGTTCAAGCCCAGGACCGACCAAAAGAAAAAAAAAATAAGTAAGTATGCTTACTTTTCAAATGGTTTAACGTAAAGTGTTTAGCATAGTGCCTGCCCAGCTCATAGCAAGCACTCAAGTCTGTTCATGGCTTCTCTCCACACTTTTCATGTCACCCACCCAGCATCGTGATGACCACTTGCTCTACCTTCTTTGCCTTGGGCATGATGCCCCTGCTTTTGTACATCTACTCCAGAGGAATCTATGAGGGAGACCTAAAGGACAAAATACCCTATAAGGGCATCATGATATCACTAGTCATGGTTCTCATTCCTTGCACCATTGGGATCATCCTCAAAACCAAACGACCACAATATGTACCCTATATCATGAAGGTAAGAACCTATGGGTCATGTTTGTACTACAGAGCCATGGGATGGGAGCAATAGCAACGGCTATACTATAATGAGTTTTATTTTTGACCACAATTCTGGAAGTTCAAGTCCAATGTAAGGTTGCACCATTGGTTTGGGCATCTAACAAAGGTGTCGAGTAACAGAAGCATGTTTATGTTCTCACATTCTGAAGTGAGGACAGTGTCCCCCAATCCCTGCTGAGGGAATACCCCCAGTGACTGAAAGTCTTCTCATGAGAACTCATCTCTTAAAAGTCCACAGCACCTCCCAACAGTGTCACACTCTAGGGACAAAGCCTTTGGGCCCTAGGGAAATTCCGCCAAAGTAGAGCAAGCAGGCTGCTGTGTCAGTTTCCTTCTTTTTCTTTTTTTCTTTTTTTAGAGGTCTATTCTTGGTACCTCTAATACTTTGTGGGATCATAATGTGCATAAAATTTTTTTTTTTTTTTTGCTGGACGTGGGGCCTGAACTCTGGGCCTGGGCTCTGTCCCTCAGCTCTTCAGCTCAAGGCTAGCACTCTACCACTTGAGCCACAGCGCCACTTCTAGCTTTTTCTGCTTATGTGGTGCTGAGGAATCGAACCCAGGGCCTCATGCATGCAGGGCAAGCACTCTGCCACTGAGCCACCTTCCCAGCCTGAAAATACTTTTGAAGGAGAAAAAAGTAAAACACTATATGCGACTGCAAAGAATAACTTTTTATAAATTTGTATCATGTTCCTTCTAAATGCTAGACTTTCTGCTGTTGGTTCTCTACAGAAAGTGAGACAGCATGAGACGTGAGATCCAAGGCAGAAGGGAAAGAGATTACTGAGAGCCAAGGTGGTCAAAGAGGCTCATTGGAGGAGAGGAGCTTGAACTAGACCAAGCAGGAATGTTAGGATTTAGGTAAGCCAAATATCAGGAGGCCAAACACAGGGCATCAGGGCAATCTTGACTGATTGACAGAATAGAGAGAGCACCAGAGAGCATTTCAACATTTCAGGAGATGGAAGAAGAGTAAATTAAAGCCACAGGGGATCTGGAGTCATAGAGAGAGCACAACATCACTACCTCACCCTCAGAAGAATCTGAGACTGTAACCTCCACCAGCTTTTTTGACCTTGGTGCTTGAAGCCCCATCAGCCTCTGTTCTGTCCAGAATGTTCCACATCCCTGGCCCCCAACATTCTAGAGGTCTGTTATCATCAGTTTCTGTTCAATCATCAGTTGCTTTTCCTGGCAGAAGGGCACACTTCAATATGCCAAGATACAAGTTTAAGGAAGTTCCATTTTGAAAAACAATTTACGAAACTTTTAAGTTAGCCATCAATGGTTTGTCTAAAGACTATGTGGCTAAGTTGATGAATCAGAACATGACATGATCAAGCAGCCACTTTTCACCATAAACATGAACCACTTTAGTAAGGGTCCAGTTACACCAGTTTAGCTTAGCTTTTTTCCCCCCCATACTTGCTGTACACTGATAAACTGTCCTCTGACCCACTTTGGTCTATTTTTTCCTTAAATTTGTACCTTCTATAGCTCCTGTCTTCTCACACTTGTCCTTGCAACTGCTTCTCTCTGTAATCCTACAAAATCCCTATAAAAGAAGATCTGCTCAGTTTTACCACTCACCAACCTGTGTGGGCCACCTGGGTCATGTAAGCAACGCCATCTCAGGGATCATAGGCAAGTGAATGGATTGGTGCCTTTGAATGGACACTTATTCTGGCTGTGATGGCACAGTGAAGTCAGTATAAAACATGGTGGCCTATGAAGCAGCAGCTACCCAGGATCACTATCTCAGCAGGTGGCAGACATGGTAGATTTTCCGGATGGTAGGAGTGACAGGACTCTCCTTTATCTATGGGCAACCACAGTAGTTTAGATGCCAGATCCGGTGCCATCAACCTCACTCAGTGATATGACTAAACTTTACACTTAGACTGACAAGAGACAGCCTTCCTACCTGAACCATGCCAATGTGTGTTTATAACCACTATTATGTAGTCCTTAAGAGTACAAGGACACAGGGGAATGACAGTGAATAACCACACAGAGGAAGGATTTTAGTTGCACAGTTTCTGTAGTCCAGTGTGTCTAGATTACCCATTCTCCTTTTTGGACAGGAGTAAAATTTACTTTGTCATTGTAGAGAGCAAAAATTAAGAATTCAAAAGGAGCAATTCAAAATGTCAGCTCTCTATTTGAAACAAGGATGGTATTGTAAAATATGTGTATAGACCCTGAAAACATGACAAACTTCTCACTTACATCAACTTTACAGGAGGTCTGAACATAAGCTACAATACCTCACTGAAAATCTGTTTGTCTGGAGAGGTGTCAAACGCAGCTGTGCCTGAGAGTGCTGTGATCAAAGCTTAGCCAAATCTCTGTCCTTTTATGTGTGCTAGCTAATGGGCTTGGTGGTACTCACCTTTGATCAATCTCAGCAAGGTGGAAGTATGACTATGAGCTCAAGGCCAGCCCAAGCTACACAGCAAAAGCTTATCACAAAATAAAAACAAAAGGTTTTTCTTGTTCCTGCCCACTTCAAACACCATTGTTATGTTAAAATGATTCCCAGAGTTCCAACTGCAGAAACCAGCACACACACTTCTCCCACCCTCCTAATTGGCTCTTTTTGTCCTCTTGTCCAGGGAGGGATGATTATCACTCTCATATTCTGTGTGGCCGTCACAGCCCTCTCTGTCATCAACGTGGGCAATAGCATCCTGTTTGCCATGACACCACCTTTGCTGACTACCTCCTCCCTGATGCCTTTCATTGGCTTCCTGATGGGTTATCTTCTCTCTGCTCTCTTCTGCGTTGATGAACGGTAGGTACTCTCTTAGATCTCACTGTCCCGTGGGTTTCTTCCTTGTCCTAGTCTTTCACAAAAAAAGACAAGGAATTAGGAACCCAAGATCTGGGCAAAGCATTTTCCTAGAAGTATGTTCAGGGCCACCAACTAAACAAGGAATTAGAGACTGTGAGAAATATTGAGGGGGGGGGAAGAGAGGGAATAGAAGCTTAAATTAAATGCCAATACCAAAGGTCTAATCAAACAGCAAAAGCCAATGGCAAAGTCCACCCCCTACCAGAATCTAGATCCCATCTCTTGCCCAATTCCCTGGTAGTTAATAGTACTGAGGTGGCTTCATCCCATTGTTAATAGTCCCTACTTCCTTTCCCATTTTTCCTCCATTTCTATCCAGGCTTTAGTCTTGACAAAGGATACCCCTGGGGGATAGTTCTCTTCAACTCTGGTAATCCAAGCTGATGCAGTTGTGGTCCTTGGCTACAGTCCAGTCAATTCACAAACACGGCTGCTGCGTGAAAAGTTGATTTGAAGGCAAGGTGTAGGAACATCAGGCAGCACACCTATGCCAAGCGATATAAGGACTTTTCAGCTCTAGTAGACAAAATATTAATGTAAGAGTTCAAATATTAGAATTACCCTGCCTCCCCCCCCCAAAAAAAAACTGAACCAGCCAGGCGCTGGTGGCTCATGCCTGTAATCCTAGCTACTCAGGAGGCTGAGATCTGAAGATTGCAGTTCAAAACCAGCCTGGGCAGGAAAGTCCATGAGACTCTTATCTCCCATAAACCACTAGAAAACCGGAAGTTGCACAGTGGCTCAAGTGGTAGAGTGCTAGCCTTGAGCTGAAAAGCTGAGGGACAGCATTCAGGCCCAGAGTTCAAGCCCATGACCAGCACTCAATAACAACAAAAGAACTGAACTAGCTGGGCACCCATGGCTCACACCTGTAATTCTAGCTACTTAGGAAGCCGAGATCTGAGGATGGCAGTTCAAAGCCCCCCCCCCCCAGACAGAAAAGTCCCTATGAAACTCTTACCTCCAATTAACCACTCAAAAACTCGAAGTGGAGCTGTGGCTCACAGTGGTAGAGCACTAGTCTAGCAAAAGATCTTAGGGACAACACCCAGGCCCCATGACAAAAAAGAAAAAGGAAAAAAAAAGTATGTAATCTTAGCTTCTTGGGAGGCAAACACTAGGGGATCTCAATACATGGAAGACCAGCTCAGGCAAGAAAGTGTCCTTGAGACTCCATTAGAAGCAGTGGCACTTGTCTGTTATGCCAATTCTGAACTGGGCACACTGGCACACATCTGTCAACCCAATGACACAAGGAAGCACAAGTAAGAACAGCAGTCCAGGAATAACAGGAGGATTCTGGCCTCATGGGAAAAAAAAAATTAACACTATCTCAGAAATCATCAATGGCAGTGGTTCAAGAGGTAGAGCATCTAGCATTTATGTGTGAGGCTCTAAGTCCAATTTTATAATCTCCTAATGGGGGTGGGGATTTAGGTCAGTGGAAGAGCACTTGTACTAGGCCATGTTCAGTCCTTAGCTCTTGGGAAAAAACAAAATCACCCAAGATGGGGCTGGGAATGTGGCTTATTGGTAGAGTGCTTGCCTAGCATGTATGAAGCCCTGGATTCAATTCCTCAGTACCACATATACAGAAAAAGCTGAAAGTGATGCTGTGGCTCAAGTGGTAGAGTGCTAGCTCAGGGACAGTGACCAGGCCCTGAGTTCAAGCCGCAGGACTGGCAAAAAAAAAAAAAAATGCCCAAGAACAAAAGAAAGCAATCCTTCCATCTTCCTACGTTAGACCACATTAGGTCCAAAGATCCAAACACAGTTGGCTCCCTTATGCCCTCCTTCTGAGCACATACAGGATTGTTGGCTTTTTCTTTTACATAGGGGCAGACGCACCATCAGCATGGAGACAGGATTCCAAAACATCCAGCTCTGTTCTACCATCCTTAATGTGACTTTTCCCCCTGAAGTCATCGGTCCACTTTTCTTCTTTCCTCTCCTCTATATGATTTTCCAACTTGCTGAAGCATTTCTCATCATTGTTATCTTTCGGTGCTATGAGAAAGTCAAAGCTCCCGAAGGTGAGTACTACCAACCCCTTTCTAATTCTGCTTCCATATTAGACCTGAGCTTACCAACAAGGCAGTTTGTAGCAAGGGCTCTTAGAATTTTGCTTTTAACTCTTTATCAAGACACTAGGAAACAAGTATCACCAAGAAAAAAGTGCATATGATCTTAAAAAAAAAAAGCCTATTGACTTCCATCATTTCTGACTTTGTAAAAAACTCAGGGGGGGCTGGGAATGTGGCTTAGCAGTAGAGTGCTTGCCTAGCATGTATGAAGCCCTGGGTTTGATTCCTCAGCACCACATAAACAGTAAAAAGGAGAAGTTACACTGTGGTTCAAGTGGCAGAGTGCTAGCCTTGAGCACAGAGAGGCTCAGAGACAGCACCCAGCTCAAGCCCCAAGACTGGGGGAAAAAAAAAAACAACCTTCAGATGGACTCAGTTATCTCATGGGATGGAGGCATTTGGCTGCTTTGTCAAAGGCCATTTTCTCATTCAGGAAATAGAACACAACTACCCTGGACATGAGACAATTAATTCTGAGATTGAGGGAAAGCCCTCTACTCACAGTTCATAAAGTTTCTGTACTCTTTAAGACTGAGTTCTTTTTTTTTTTTTTTTTTTTTGGTCGGTCGTGGGGCTTGAACTCTGGGCCTGGGCGCTGTCCCTCAGCTCTTCAGCTCAAGGCGAGCACTCCATCACTTGAGCTACAGCGCCACTTCCGGTTTTCTGGTGGTTTATTGGAGATAGGAGTCTCACGGTCTCTCCTGCCCGGGCTGGCTTTGAACTGCGATCCTCAGATCTCAGCCTCCTGAGTAGCTAGGATTACAGGCGTGAGCCACCAGCGCCCGGCAAGACTGAGTTCTTGACCTGGAATTAGCACTATTATTCTTCTCCTCACTGCGGAAAGTACATTAAAGAAATGCAGCCCTTATAATCCAAAATCCAAAAAAATGGGTTCATTTCTGGTTATACAGTAAACACCAGATAGTTAAAACAGTAGCTATATCACAATAAACTTGATGACTTATAATTTGATTACTGCTCACTGTTCATTAAAAATATAACTTCAGGGCTGGGAAAGTGGATCAATGGTAGAGTGCTTGGCTTGCATGCATGAGGCCCTGGGTTCAATTCCTCAGCACCACATAAGCAGAAAAAGCCAGAAGTGGCACTGTGGCTCAAGTGGTAGAGCACTAGCCTTGAGCTGAAGCGCTGAGGGACAACACCCAGGCCCAGAGTTAGAAAGAAAGAAAGAAAGAAAGAGGGAGGGAGGGAGGGAGGGAGGGGGGAAAGGAGGGAGGGGGGAGGAAGGAAGGAAGGAAGGAAGGAAGGAAGGAAGGAAGGAAGGAAGGAAGGAAGGAAGGAAGGAAGGAAGGAAAGAGGAAGAGAGGAAGAGAGAGAGAAAATATATATAACTTCAGCAAAGCCTAGCACTACTTTTCAGAAGGGCATTTAGATTGCAATTTTTCAAGTGCTAGGCATTCAACAAAGGGCCTCACTTATGCAAGGCACGTGATCTACCAGAGTAAGAGCTATATCCTCAGACCATGTCTTTTCCAAACCAATTCATTTGGCTTGTATAGTTTTTGTTGATTTTTGGTACTGGTACTGGAGCTTGAAGTCAAGAGTTTGTGTGCTGCTCTTTTTTACCCAGGGCTAGAAGTATATCACTTGAGCCACAACTCTACTTCTGGCTTTTTGGTAATTAATTGGAGCTAAGAGTCTCATTTCCTGCCTCAGCTGGATTTGAACACTGATCATCTGATTGCAGCCTCCTTTGTATCTAGGATTCACCAGTACTCAGCTTAACATCTCAGTATTTCCTAACTCTAAATCAGTATATTTTTCCTTATCACCCAATTCCTTGACTGACCCTTACTTCCCATGGTATTGAGGCCTCTTCAAGACCTTTTCCAATCCTTTGCTTGGGGACTATGGAATTTATACTAGCAAATGTAGATTCTCCCTTTGTGATTTAGCTTAAGATGCAACCTTGGCCATCAAACAGTCAAAACCAAACCTCACTACAGAAGTTTTAGCAAAGAACCTAATACTGAGAGAAAATGGAGATTTGTTGCCTGAGAGATTCTCACCTAGTTCAAAATGAAAAGGAATGGGAGAGAAATTTCTAGAAACATTAACCAGGTTTCAGGCTTTTGTTCTAAAAAGGCCTGGAGTGAACTTGACGGTCACTGGAGAAATATTCCAAGTTCAACCCCTAACACCACACACAAGAAAGGAGGATACTACCTGGGTTTTCAGCTCTTAAGACATCAACACTGTAATCCTTGAAAGACTATAATGGCAAAACTAAGTAAAAGTAGTGCATCTTTTCCAGCCAGTGGCCCAACCAGATTCTCAGAGTATAGATCTATCAGAAAAGTATTTGTGCTCTTGGCTTCTGGGCCCTTCTGTTGAACTGGAAGATGGGCCCTGTCAATCCAACTTTCAAAGGCTTCTACTTTCAGAAGACAGAAAAGCCAGATAACCAGGCTGTGGGGCCTGTTTCTAAACTTTTCTGGTCAGATGCCCCTAAAGCTGTTCTCAACCCACTCTTTCAGAATGCAGGTGACACCTTCCTATTGCTTTATTCTACATACAAAGTTGGAGATGATTTATTAGGTATGTTACTTACTAGTACTATCACTAGAGAGGCTAAGAGGAAAGCAAATCCTACAAAACTGAATCATGGGAAGGATAAAAAAAATAGACACATATAGCATATCTTAGGAATAGGTCAATATTCCTGTGCTTTTCAGCTTGAACAAGCTTTGTTATTTTGTTACTCTTCCTCCTTACCTTTAATCCTTTTTCACTTCACAGAGAAAACAAAAGTAATCTATAAGGTTGCCACAACTGAAGAAGCAATTGCAGAAGTTCTGAGTAATGGCAGTCTCAAAGGGGAGTCTTCTCCTAGCACAGCTTAGCCCACACCACCATGGCATGGATTGTAGCCTAATGGCACATAGGAAAACAAGTGTGACAGAGCAGCAAACAAGAAACACCAAGCTTGCCTGAGTCTTTTGTACAGCACTTCCAAGAAACCTCTGTACAGAATCATCAACCCTTGATGAAGGACAGAAGGCCATCTACCAGGAAGCCCCACCCATCTCCAACTCAGAATGTGTACGAATTTAAGAAATAAAAGGACTATTCAGTGATTATGAACTCTACCAACACAGAAATAAATGTCTTGTGCCTCTGGATCTCAGCAACAGTGCCTGATAAGTATCTAAAAGTCATGCTGTATTCAGAGTTAATCAGTAAGTGGATGGTCCAAGATTAATCAAATATCCAAACCTCACTTCAAATTTTGTCACCCAAAAGAAAATTAGTACACTACAGAAACTCAACTTAAAAAACTGTTCAGGCTGTGCACCAGTGGCTCATGTCTGTAATCCTACTCAGAAGGCTGAGATCTGAGGATAGCCATTCAAAACCAGCTTGGGTAGTAAAGTCCTTGAGACTCTTACCTCCAATAAACCACCAAGTAAAAAGCCAGAAGTGAAATTGTGGCTCAAGTGGTAGCGTGCTAGCCTTGAGCAAAACAAGCTCAGGAATAGAACCTAGGCCCTGAGTTCAAATGTTCTTCCCTTTTATACCATTCAGATTAAAATCCTTGGTAAATCAAATATGCAAAAGTAGATTCGTAAAATGTAAAAACAATTGACAAATTCAAAATAGGTAGTGCCTTAATAAAATGCAGATACTTGAATATCAGAACAATTACCATGAATAAATACGAAATAGCAGTTCACTTAACTATTCTAGCCTTTTTTTTTTTTTGTCATGGGGCTTGAACTCTGGGCCTGCGCGCTGTCCTTCAGCTCTTCAGCTCAAGGCTAGCACTACCACTTGAGCCACAGCACTACTTCTGGTTTCCTGGTGGTTTAGTGGAGATGAGAGTCTCACGGACTTTCCTGCCCGGGCTGGCTTTGAACCACGATCAGATCTCAGCCTCCTGAGTAGCAAGGATTACAGGTGTGAGCCACCAGCGCCCAGCACATTCATTACTTTTCAGTGCTATCAAGCATCCTAAAAACTCTAAATGATTGCCAAAGAATAGTTGATTCAAGTGGAAATACTCAAATTTTTTTCCTCATAAAATCTATACATTCTGCACATTACTCACATGGAAATTAATACTTTCATATACTTATGAATCTTCTATATCATTTATGATCAGCTACAATTGAAACCACAAGTTTAGAGAACCAGTTTTGGCAAATGTGCAAATTGACTGGCTTGGTACTCTTCTCCCAAGAATCACCCATTTAGGGGCTTGCACTGAAAGCAGCACTCCTCAGTCCTTTTTCTCAGGAAAACGTCTTGCATTTTGCCCAGGGACTGTCTCAAACTCCTACCTCTACCTCCCACAAAACTGGCAGTACAGCAATGTCCCACCATGCCCAGTTTGTATTTGAGATGTCTTCTAACATTTTAGCATGTGTGGCTGAGATTACTGGGCTGGGACCACTATACCATCCAAGTGTTTTTAAACATCTCCCTTTTTTTTGTTGCTGATTGTCGGGCTCGAACTCTGGGCCTTGGCGCTGTCCCTGCGCTCTTCAGCTCAAGGGAAGCTCTACTGCTTGAGCCACAGTGCCACTTCCGGTTTTCTAGTGGCTTATTGGAGATGAGTCTCATGGACTTTCTATCCAGGCTGCGTTTGAACCGTGATCCTCAGATCACAGCTTCCTGGGTAGTCACCAGCACCCTGCCAAGATCTCCCTATATTTTTACACATTGTATTTGTGCAGTTTGTTCCAACTGTTTTCTCTAGCATCCAGCTGCTATCTGCTCAAAAACCTGGTTACCCAGAACAAAATTATGTAAAAACTAGTCTGAGGAAAGTTATGATTGAAGTCAAAATTATCACTCTAAAACTATCCATAAAGAACCCAATGCTAGTTAGTGGCCAGGCCTATACACAAACACCACGTATCAATCAGTAACTGGGTGTAGGAATGCACTTGTACCGGCCCCTCTGTGGGCCTGGGTCCCAGGCCCTCATCTCAACAGAAAAAGCTGGGCATGTTGACACAGGCCTGTCAGCCAGGAGGAGAGTTAACTATGATCCAGGTAATCCCAGTCAAAAATTGAGACCCTAGGGGCTGGGAAGGTGGCTCAGTGGTAGAGCCCTTGCCTTGCATGCCTGAGGCCCTGGGTTCGATTCCTCAGCACCACATAAGCAGAAAAAAAAAGCCAGAAGTGGCGCTGTGGCTTAAATGGTAGAGCGTAGCCTTGAGCTGAAGAGCTGAGGGACAGCGCCCAGGCCCAGAGTTCAGGCCCCACAACCAGACCCTCCCCCCAAAAAAATTGAGACCCCCATCTCAAAAATGACCACAATACATGGGGTGTTGTGGTTCAGTGAGTATAGAACATGTAAAGGACCAAGTTCTAACCCCAGTACCACCAAACAGAAAAAGATGAAAGGAACATAAAACAAAGGCTACACATACCATTCCATAAGACCGTTTAAATTTCTTAGCCTTATATCCAGTCCTCATGTCCTTTATCAGGTTTATTCAGGATAACCATCCAGAAGGGTTGTTTTTTAATTACTTTTACCTCTGGCATTTTCCAAAGAGAATGTTATATTCCCTTCCCAACACTTGTAAACATTAAAGTAGTAAACCTTATTAGTCCAGAGATCAAAGAAATGAACTCAGCTAAGGCACTGGTGGCTCATGCATGTGAGCCTACTCAAGAAGCTACGAGAATTTTTTTGGAGGGGGGTGGGGGGAAGTATTGGTCATGGGGCTTGAACTCTGAGCCCTGGGCACTGTCCCTCAGATCTTCAGCTCAAGGTTAGCTAGTGCGCTACCACTTGATTCACAGCACTTCTGGTTTTCTGGTGGTCAATTGGAAATAAGTCTGACTTTCCTACCTAGGCTGGCTCTGAACCACGATCCTCAGATCTCAGCCTCCTGAGCTTACAGGCATAAGCCACCTGCACCCAGCAAGGATCACTTTTTGAAGCCAGCCAGGAAGTAACTGGCTGGAAGTAACTCACCTCCAATTAACCATTAAAAAGCCAGAAATGTAGAATGCACTAAAGATTATGGGCTCAAATGAGCACCAGTATTGAGCAAAAAAACAGATTCTAAATTCAAGCCCCACAGCAGATTCTATGTTCAGTATTGAAGCCTAAGACACTTAGGGAGAGAGCTAGCATTCAAAACTAAAGTCCATTTCAGTTTGATGGCTCAAAGTACAGGGCTATGACACTTTTGATTTAGATATAGGATCTTAAGCAATTTTCAGTTTATTTCCTCTTAACTGCATTCAAGTCTCCAAAAAGCAACATGTGTATTACTAAGTTTTTAATTGTAATTTCTAACTCCAGAACTATATTAAAATCATTAAAGCAATAAGAAATGCTAATTTGCTTACTTCAACAGAACCAAGAACAAGAGTTGTCAGTTGCCAACAGCTTACTGACTGCTGGATTGGAAATACCAGAAGTACTATTTAAAAGATCAGGATGGGCTGGGAAGGTGGTTGTGGTAGAGTGCTTGCCTTGCATGCATGAGGCCCTGGGGTCGATTCCTCAGCATCACATAAGCAGAAAAAGCCGGAAGTGGTGCTGTGGCTCAAGTGATAGAGCGCAGGCCCAGAGTTCAGGCCCACGACAGACTAAAAATAAATAAAAGATCAGGATTTTATGTGATAGATGTAGAAAAGAATGGTTAAATAGTAAATAGGACATTTTCACAGAGACACAAGTATTTTTTATAATATTTTATTATCAATAACAAACAGCTGCTTTAATGTTTTTGTCCTGCAGCTGTTAATAGGTAGGTGGAAGGACCCTTGACCAAACAAGGAAAACTCAAGCCTTTATATACAAGCAAATTTAGAGCTCTTTTAAGTGTCCAAAGCCAACAATTAGTTTAATTGAGGTATTAAACTAATTCTTAATCAACATATTTGAACAAACAGAAACTAAAATATTCAAATTTTTTCTAGTACAAAAAAATTAATGTTGCTTTAGTTATAAAAGAGCTCTGTCAATATACACAAACTATATACTTCAGACATTCACAAAAATGTGAGCAGAAGGCTTATCAAAAGACATTTAATACAATTAGCTTTCAACAACCCCTTGGTGGTCCACATCTACAAAGAAATCCAGCCCAACCCAACCCCATCCAAATCCCACCCCCACTGAAAAGCACATACTTACCAGAATTTTTAGCAAGTATGGTTTGGGAATTTTTTTTAAAAAGGCCCCCAGGGCAAGTTATTTACAGTTTAATTGCCACTGTCAACTGATCTGGACCTCGACCGGGACCGGGACCGGGATCGGGACCTCTGACGATCCACAGAAGCTGGAGACTTAGATCTACTTGAAGAACCACGTTTCTGGCTCTTCTCAGGCACAGGAGACCTACTAACAGAACGAGACTTGCTCCGGCTCCGGCTCCTGCTTCTGGACCGGCTGTAAGACTTGCGACTACGGGAACGAGATCGGCTCCGAGACCTAGAGGAACTCCTGGTCCGAGATCGAGACCTGCTTCTTGACCTACTATGAAAAGGGCAAAAAAAGGGGCAAGAAAAAATTAGCCTACATAACAGGTCCTACAAATCCACTAAATATAACTTTCCCTTAAAAATATTAAAAGATACCTGTGCCTTTTGCTGCCTTCAATTAACTTAATTTTCCTTCCATTTATTTCCTTTCCAGAAAGTTTTTCAATAGCATTTTTTAAATCACCATAAGAGGCAAATTCAACCACCCTGAAATGGGGGAGGGAGAAGAAGAGAAATGACAAAAACCTATTTACTTTAAAACACAAATACTCCCAGCATCTTTACCACTGTACACATCAGTCTAAAATAACTCCTTTTGCTATCACACGCTATTAAATCTTTTTTATGGTGGACAACATGGCATATATAGAAAGGTTTTGGCACTGCTGAC